GCCCCCCCCCCCCCCCCCCCCCCCCCTTCCAAGGAAAGCTTTTTAAACGTTTTTTTTTAATTTCTACCTCTCGTAAAGGGGTGTTCAATACTTCCAGCCGAACGTCCTACGTACTATATACGGAGTACACACCTAAGGCGTCTACTGTACAAGGCATCTGTAGAGCGTGCTGCTGTTGGACCTGCCAGCGGCGGGTTTGGGTGTCGCAAGCACCGATATAATATTTAGACCGGTGCCAGAACACAAGCATACACTTGTGGTCCTAAATAGCACGGCTGGTGTGCGCGCAGATAGTTTGGTTCCAGAGGTGTTGTCCACATTGACCCCAACAGCACCACAGCTGATCATGATGACAAGGGGGAGGCGAGACCAGCAGCGGAGCGCAGCAGCAGCCCCTGATGCTTGTTGCGTTCTTTGATTTCCCGATGCTTGTTTCGAGATTACCCTGAATCACGTTTTGCCTAGCTGGGTTCTTGAGGGAAAAGAGTAAACGCCATCCAGGTCACGTACAGCTACATACGTATTGTTGTTGTGCCTTTGACCGGTAGGCTTGCATTGGCAGCACTTTTACATGCACGAAGAAGTAGTTCATCGCTCCTACCGTCGGAACACGTTCCATATAGTGCATCGTCTTATAGTAGGCCTTGTTTATCGTAAGTACTAGAGCAAGCAATGCAGCAAGCCCCAGGGGGAGACGCAACCGAGCGTGACGACCATCAACACAACAGCCAGCAAACAGCCCCCAGGGCGACCAGACGAGAATCTCCAGCAAGCAACGAGAGAATCTTCAGAACATGAGAGGACTTATACTACTACTGTACAAGCACAGAAGAGGTGGCGGCCATCGCACATACATTCGTGTTCGCGGCTGACAGCAGCAGCACCAGTGGCACGCCTGAGATATGCATTGTACTGCTGTACCTGTAGTATAGGACAACACCACAAGTGTGCCAAACCCCAGCGGTGGTGCCACCAAGTATGCAGCCATCACTACCAAAACACACACGTGCTGAAATCCGCATGCTCTTGACGAGTTGAGTAACAGAGCAGGAGCCGATAACATGCACCCAGCAAGTCGGTTTGGTTATTTTACGCGAGGCGAGCGCGCCTCATACGTACTATGTGCTACACACTACACAGGGCGGAACAATTTTCGCGATCAAAATGTTCAGCAGCACACAGATTTTTTTACAACAGCAGCGTGTGTGTGACGGAAAGACCCAAAAAAACAGGCTCCACAAGAAGGGAGGCCAATCGGGAGACACAGCAGCAGCAAGAAGTTGTGTGCTAATCGTGTTGCCAAACATGAAAGCACCCGATAGCGAAAAGAAAAATTCCCACAAGAGAGCTGCTGCGGCGGTAGAGTCCGTCGTGTTCTGCCTGCCCTCCCGAGACTAATATACAAACCCGTGTGTGTCTTCTATTGTGAGACGAATGATGACACCCACCGTTAGAGAGGGGTCGTCCATCGCTGAGAAGTCCATCGTGACGCCCGTCCCAACCACCATCTGCCCGGAATCGTCGCCGCCCTCATCCACCTTTGGCGGCGCGTTGCGGCTCCGCCTCATGGCCCTTTTCTGCGGGCTGCTACCGCGCAGCTGCAAAGTCGTTGGGGTTTTTCCCTGCTGGTTGCCAGCTGATGAGAGCGAGGAAAGTCAACCCGAACAACGAAGGAATTTGTCCCGGTCTTCTCCCTGAGTGGATGGGTCCTTCACCTCCAGCCGCGTGCGAGCAAGAGGGAGAGAGAGAGAGAGCCACTGCGGGAAGACCAAAACCAGCAGCGAGAAGAAAAGTTCGCTGCGCCGCTACGTGTCTTCCTCTTGTCGTTGTGTGACAGGGACCACCGTCGTAGGAGTGCGTGGTAGAAGAGGAGAAGCTCGCTACGATCGCATAATTGTCTCTCGGCTGCTGTTCGACGGTAAGAACAAATAACCCGTAAGTACAGCAGCAGTAAGACTCCCAGAGTATCTCCGAAAGCACTCTCCCCTTGAATTCGCCCCACAACTAGAGGGAGTGGAGAAACTGATGCTCTCCGTGTCCAAGGTGCTTCTGGTGGGGTCCTTGTTTGCCCGAGAGGTAGAACCAACTGCTTGTCTCGCTCCTTGCTCTGCCAACTGCACTGCCTGCTGTGTCTCTCTATTCTAAAAAGGGGGCCACACGGCTCCGCACGTCAGGGGGTATTGTGACAGCTCACGACTCCTGACGAAATATTGCAACAAAACAGGCGGACGAACATTATATCTGCTCTCACGCAGCTGCTCAGGCACGGAGGCAAGGTGGAGGCGTACGACCACACAGAATGGAGGCAGTGCGGCAGTAGGTCAGTCCCATGCCCGTCGAGCGAACCAGGATTCATCCAGTTTCATAGACAGCAGCGACAAAAATGGTCGGTGCATCCTAAATCCTCAACAACTCAACAACTCTCCCCTAAAAAAAAAAAGATGCGCCGAAGCAATCGCTAGATGCGGCGCAACGTCCCAGCGGTCTCTCTGCTCGCTTGGCTGAGATCTGGCTCTCCGCTGCTCCTTCATCACAAACGAGTACACCCCACCCCCCATCGTTGCGCGCGCAGTAAAGGTAGCAGTGCGCGCCTGGGGCTCCTGGAAAGGGACCCGAAGTTGATGTTCCCCTTGGCAGGAGAGCTAGGAACAGCAAATCGAAAACGGCCCGCAGCTGGAGTACGAGCTTCCGGTTGTTACTCACGTGCAGTCAGCATGAACGCGCTGCTATTGCTGTTGCTGGTTGGACCACTACAGCTGCATGGCTTCGTCGTCAGCCCACCTCATCGCGCAGCTTCAGCAAGATGGTTGGGTGGAAGCAGCAGCACACGACGTTGGCCCCATGGCTGTATGATGTCCGGAGGCAGTGGAGCTATCACTACGGCGGGCAGGCGCGAGATGACATGGTCGAATCCGATGGGGGACGACATGGTGCAAGTGCTGGGCGACGTTTGGTGCGCGGAGCGCCCCTTTGTGTGGAACGGCATCGACGTCGGTGGGTGCAGCGCCGCTATCAATCTCTTCATCATCATCCTCGCATCTTCGAAAAAACTTCTTCCTCGTGCAACCTAGTTGGCTGCTGTTGTTGTTGCGTGTTGAAGTTGCTTGAGTATGCAGCAGAGACCAGCGGGCCGATGTTGTAGCAGCCAGCCCGAGGGGGAGCACGCAACCCAACACCCGTGTTGTCATTGCACAAATACATACGCTCTCTGGTGAACGCCGGAACTGATAGTCCTTCCGATGGACAGGCCTCCTATACATAGTCCACCCCTGATCGTCCTCTTGAGGACGCGTGGTCAATGGTCTAACCGCTAAGGCCTGCAAAACATTAGAGTAAGAGATATAAGAGTACCCCCCCCTAAACTTGATCGAAAATGGCTTGTACATACAGTAGTATAGACCTCTCATTCACTCTTTTCCCACACATCAACCGAACGCCTTTTCTTTCCAAGACAACACGAACCACCGCCTTTACACCAACCCAGGACTCATCCCCGTCAACGCCAACTTGGCACCTACAAGCGAAACCACGGTCAACCACAGCAGTATGTAGAAGTTTTCACAGCACGATCAACCTTCCCCAACGCACACATCATGTCATCCACTGGTATTGGTTTGAGGTTCGAGCGCAGGGTTTGAAGCCCCAACCGTCGCCTAGAGCACAGCGTGTCGAATGTCTGTTATTGACAGCATTGGCCTATGTTGAAAGGGTGTGGTGTGTGGCGGACTGCGTCGGGTGTGGACCCACCCACCGTAGGTATAGTGAGGTCGAGCATCTCGATGGATCGATCGAACAAAGAACAGCTCTGCCCACACACACACCCTACCTTCTCTACGCCCCCCCTTGCTCTCCCTCTCTCCCACTTGGGATGTCCGAACAAAATCTAGCCTAGCCATCATCTTCCAGCAACAGCAGTGCAGAGCAAACGCCTGCAGGCGTGGAAGAATCCGGGGGGTTTCAAGGTTGGCATGTGTCTTGGTGACAACGCACACGAATATACATCTGGCAGAAGGGGACGGTGTGTGTTTTTTTTTTCACAACATTCGGGCCCCGAGGCCGAGTAAAAGTGCTACCCTGCTACCGTAGTCTACCCTGAGCCTTGTTTTTGAAAAAGGCGGGAATTTCCAGGGAGGGTCAACAGCACTCCGTCCGTCTCGAAAAGGGATGCCATGTTCTGTATACCGTATTTGAGGTTAAGCGGTTGTCAAACAAACGAACCCCTCGCCCGTACCCTTGTCGTATTCTGTATCTCTCCTGCCCCATTGTTTGGTGTTGCGCAGGGGGTCGCATGGCGGTGGTGAAGCTCTCCGACGGCTCTCTCTGGGTGCACTCCCCTGTGGACCTCGACGAGCCGCTAAAGGAGGCCCTTGCCAGCCTTGGGCCAGTGGGACACATCGTGTCACCCAACTACGAGCACGTGAAGTGAGCTACTACAGCTGCATCTCCGTAGACCTTCTCCGACGTTTTTCATCATGCTCTATTCACCTGCAATGCCGTCGCATGAACTGCAAGCACGCCCGCACACAATAACTTATTTTTCCTGGGAGCTAGGGGCGATGCTGCCTCGAAAATCGCCGCAGTTGCTGATGCAGGAGAGTAGCTGTGGACTGTGTTTTCTTTCGCCAGCCTGAGACCGTTTGTGTGCGGGAGCAGGTACGCGAAACAGTGGGTGGAGGCCTATCCTTCCGCTGTCTCGTACGCGTGCCCCGGGTTGGCGGAGCGGCAGCCGGAGGTCGGTTTCACCAGGGAGGTGGGGGCGAGCATTGAAGACGAAAGCCTGCCCGAGTGAGTGTATGGACGCCGTTTGCACATCGTCTGGTTCGATTGGGACATTGTCGGATTTACCCCCCGGGAGATCTCCCGGCGGGGTGTTGACCTAAACTACCGTAGGTGACACAAGATACCACATCCCCTGGACCAATTTCCAAAGCTCGAAGAGGGTGCATGTGACACGTTTTCGGAAAGCTTTCGGCGAGACGGTTCCAACCCCGCCATTTTCGTCTTCGGCGCCGACGTTGTTTCTGCTTTGGAGTTGCCGAGCTTTGACAATCGCGTGTTGTGTCACCGACGGTAGTAAGGTAGAGCCAGTCATCACTATTGTATCACTAATCGCTGATGACACCTGGTGTCGCCGACTCACCAGCGTACATGTATGGCAGCTCTCTACTACACTCACCCATGTTTCTTACTAACCCCTCTCCCGGGGGAGGTTGAGCCTGGCGTGTTTTGTTCGACGCCACGCCCACAGCGTGGGATATAGCTGGGCCTGTAGAACCGTAGACCACCGCGTCACGGCATCAGTTGTTGGCGTCGGCGGCAGGATACGCGTCTTTGTGGTGGTGGTGGTAGTCGTCGTCATCGTTGTCAACAGGGGGGGCGGGGGGGGGTCGTACATGTCATGGTCGTTAGACCATTGACCTCGCATCCCTACAAAGCCGGGACGGAGCACACCGGGTTCGCACCGGACCAGACTCTCACATCACCAAGCGCGAAGCGCCGTGGGGTATTCGGCGAGTCGCATGAAGGGTGCGCTGCATCCTGCTTTGTAAGGGTGTTCGACATCTTGTGCTTACTTCCTTGCGTACGGATGACAGCTGCGTATGACTTAATTTATTTTCTGGTGCTTTCACTCCCAGAGACAATTATAAGCACTGTGTAACTGCCTCGAGGATGCTTGACCATTTTAACAACGTGGTGCGATTATCCGCTTTGCGCGGAGTGAGGGTTCTCGACCCCGCACAACATAATCTACTAGACCCACATTCATGGTTACCGCACAAAAAATCAGAGAAAAACAAAAAGCGGTAACCTGGTTGCCGAGGTCACGAAGTGATCGGCTTGTTTCACAACATCGCTGCCAAGCGACGAAAACCCAACCCCGATGGCAAGCACCGAGGGGGACTGTCAACAGGGGGGGCATGGAAAAAGCGGTGGCCAGTTGGTTGGAGAGAACGGTGGGGGCGGAAGCCCTCCCGCAGCGGGTAGCACTGGCTTATCATCACCTCAAACGGAGAGGTGATTTTTTGATGGCGGAGCCTGCCGTCGGTTGTGTGACACAATTTTTGTACTTGACAATATGGCGACGACTTGGTTTCCGTCTGTGTTGTGACACGTTTGAAAAGGGGCACAGTAGGCGCATACATCACTCGCGATCTTGGCAACACACAGCACCCAGGACGCAGCACACAGAGAAGGAGGGATGTCTGGGACATGAAAGCAACACATCCTCGCGCCTGCTGCTGCTGCTGCTGTTGTACGCGACACAGCCAAGCAGCTGGTAGGTAGCAGAACAGAAGCGGCAACTTGATCATGATCGCCAGACGCAAACCAACGCAAACAACAGCAAGAGAGGTTGGCACACTGACGCAGTGGCACTATACTATACTCCACTCTGGCAACTGCTGCTGTTGTTGTGTGTGGTGGTGTGGTGCGGAACGACTGGGCGAGACAGACAGATCAGAGCTAATGATGTTTGTTGGGAATTTATGTACAGCAGCAGCTTTAGGCGGGATCTTTCACTACACACATCATCACAGGCACGGGTCTCAAGGCAGCACCACCTCTCTCTACATGTTGGTTGCTCGAATCACCGCTGGTGCTGCTGCACTTGGCTGCCGCTGGCCTCCTTTCCCTTTGAGACGCTTTCCGCTTTGCCTTCGAGATGATGGCGGCGTGCTTGCGTGTGTTGGTATGCCTACAGATAGGCACATTGCTTGATGTTGACATGCTACAGAAGTGCTCACGTACGCGCTGCAGAACAGCACCGAGAGGGGACAAAAGGGGGCAGTCGTTGACAGCGCAGACAAATCTAGGTGCTCACTCCCGCATCTACTACGGCAACCCGCTTGTTAATGGACGTCGTGATCGCCGAGATGTATTCAGGTGTTTTGCGAGAGAAAGGCCTGGACTTTCTTCCCTCCTTTTTATTTTTTTTCCCAGGCGCCGCCATTTGTTAATCGCCACAAATTGGCTAACTTTTTTTTGGCCCCGCTGCTTTCTGCTGCTGCCTGGCAGGTGGGGCGACGAGATCCTGGCGTGCTTTATGGACTGCGAGACCAACCCCTTCACGGGCAAGCCTTTTTTCAATGAGGTGGGACGAAGTACAACCTGTCGTTGTGATGATGTGCCTACAGAGTGCCGGCATTTGTTAGACCGATTTTGGAGAGGTCGTAAATAATAAAAAACACGCACACCAAATAATGGAATGACACCAAAATGTTCGTGAGAAAGCTCTCGTCAGCAGCGTTCGAATGAGCGCTCATCGGAAGCTGTTGGTTTGTGTTGTCAAAAAGGTACGGCCGTATTTGTAGGCGCCCCGAAAGGTTTTAAGACCTATCCCAAGTGCCTGCCGTTGTAAGAACAGAGACGTATCGATTCATTCCTGCCATGCCGTGGTTTGCCCAGAGCAGGAACATGTACAGAGAGGACCGCTGTACCCTGTAGCGCCCCCACTTCCAACTTCCCACTTTTGTCTGCCACATCCGATGATCATTCCGACGGTGGGGTGCTTGTTGCCACTACAGAACGGGCCCGCAGTCCAGATATAGTACTTTAAGAAACAGAGGTTCAATTTCACGAAAAATTCTGAAACAGGGCTAAGAAACACAGCTCAGCGGTGGATCCTTACCGTTGGTTCTGTACGTGAATTCAACCAAGGGGCCGAGATTTTCGGGAGGGCTTGGGAGGCCGAGTTCTGGGGGAGAGACTTCGCTGATTGAATTTAGAGTATCGCTATCTTTCGCTGGGCGCTGGAGGGCCATCAAAAGAGACAGTGTGCGGACGTGACTCGTATCGTGTTTTATGGCGATTCGATCCACGATGTCAGATATGTACGATGGGAATTTTAATTCTTAAGCGGACACATGGTCCAAAAGTGATGTAGTGCCGTGGGGTGCGTCGGGATTTTACGAGCGATTGGATTGACTGAGAAATAATAGATTAATGAAAGACGAAGTTCCTGCCGTATACCCGAAACCCCTTTCTCTGGTGCTGTGCTGCGCTGTGCACCGATTTTCAACGCAGCCATCCGCCAGCTAGGTATTCGTCAAACGTGTCGAGGCAGACGGTGCAGCATTACTGCTAGACCGAGAAATTCCTCGAGGGCATTCCAGAACCGTTGAGACTTGGCCGCCAAGTGGCGGCCAAGTGCTACACCCACTTATGTGCATTTGTATTCACTCTCCCTATCGTAGTGGTACCTGTTTTGGCCATGGGCATGCGAATCTCGCGCTTTGATGCGCTTCGGTTCCATGGTTGCCTCCGTAGATACCGGGTTCCTCACTCTCCAACCCCCGCTAGGGTCCCACCTTTTGGTTACCAACGACACAAACCCGCGCGCCCACTTCCCCTCAGAACACGTACATTCACACCCAACACGAGGTGGTGCTGGGTGCACCTCTGAAATGCACAGCTCAGTGAAGAAGTACTTGGCCATGGATGGTGTAGGCGTGCCCTACAAGATGAAAAATAATCAAGGGTATTTAAAAAAAAAGAGAGAAGAAATCGCATAACAAGTGCAAGTGAATATTCATTATATGTCTTTATGGTAAAGAGACGGCGCCGAATGGTGGTAGCCTGAGGCCGGAGCCCCTGAGCCCTCATTAGTGTTAGACTTATTGAGTTGGTGGTTTTGCGGCGTGGAGAGCCCGAAGGTCCGAAGAACACACCGTTTTCGAACGCACCCTTGGTAGGAGATTGCGAAGTTTGCGTGATTTTTCGCCTCTTGTCTTCGCTCGCCAATACACCACCCGTATTCCGGCCGCCCCGTCCCTGTCGGAAAGTGTGATCGGTGCTCTCCCCTCGAGACCGCTTGTGGTCAATGGTTGGATGACTGATACGCCAGCAACACATGCGTCCCCGCTCCCCCTCAACCCTCTCCGTGAGCATGGAACGGGGGTGAGATAGACTTTTTGCAATAAGTGCGACACGATCTTGTCTTTTTGCGCGCGAGCGTTGGAGTTGTCCCGATTTTGGGAGCGGGAACGTCGCCAAGAATATATTGCGTTGACGTTGCTGTCGAAATAACCGCGGGAAACAGCAATTGGGATCCACCCTCCCTCCGGGCGGTTCCATGCTTGGTGCCACGCGAACCTGTTCCACGAAATAACGGCGCACCTTTCGTCCGTGCTTTGATACACTAGGCCTACGGCCGAAAGGCTGCCATTCCCTTTTTGTTCCCTTCTCAAGCAACGAAGCGCAAACACACACACACACACACACCTTCTCCAACCGCCATCGTCCCGATAGACAATTCGGGAACGCGTTGGTTGCAAAGGATGCCTTGCCCCACTACCCCCGCCGACTGGTGGAACTCGTGCGAGCATGCACCTTGTTCCCCACTGCTTGGACGACGTTTTAGCGCCACCCATGAATTTTTCGTGCGGCTTTGACAGGTTGTTTTCTTCCACCGTCCGACCAAAACTCTGATAACCTCGGACTTGTACTGGAACTACCCCCGGAAAGAGGTGCCTCTCGGCACGAGAGTCTGGAAGTGGGGCATGGACAAGGTGCGAGTTTTTTTTGTTCCAATTGACATGTGTTTATTTCCTCATTTGTTCGCTCTTTGTGATTTAAGATTGTTGGCCATGCTGTTGCAGGCCATGTTTTTGTCGTTGTCACTGTCGCTGTCGCTGTCGTTGTTGTCGCTGTCGTTGTTGTTGTTGTTGTTATTGTTGTTGTTGTTGTTGTTGTTGTTGTCGTCTTGTCGTCTCTGCACTATTAGCCTCTTCGGTACGCCTTGTTGTCCCTGAAAGAGTGGACATCTTCAGTCGCATGCTTGCGAAGAATCTTGGGGGACCCGGAGAGAATTGTTCTACACTCGAAACTGCTCTGTCTGCCACCAGGGCGCCAGTCCTCAGAATCACCATGAAGCAGGACATGCCTGCAAGACCAGCCCCTGTTGTGAGTTGGAACGACGCCATCTTATGTGCATCCTCAGCGTTTGCTGGTTCTACTCTACTGCTCTGGGTTTCTACGGCAGATTTGATCAATCCCTTCACGGCAAAAGCACCTTTTCCCGTTTCTGCGAGCCCGGCGACTGATCGTCTCTGTCCGTTTGTGCTTGCTCGGCGACTGATCATCGATGCATCCAAGGTTTATCTGCCGTTTTACAAGAAGTTCATGGTTACGGACGGTGAAGCTTTCGTCTCCAAAGTTAACCAGATCCTAGACTGGGGGGTCGAGACCATCGTCCCCTGCCACGGGGGTATTGTGCGAAGCGGGGCACCCCAGGTGTGCTGCTTGTAACCCCCCCCTCCCCCCCCGGAGGTAGACGAGATAGGTGCCACTGCTGCTTGGTTTGTGCGAAGAAGTTGTTTTCCCGAGCCATGGCCGCTGAACCCGGGCCCTACTGCTACCGCTGGTGCTTCAGAACGCACGACGGCATTCTTCTGAGTGCGATCAATCCACGAAACACACCGTGTTGTTGTGTTATCCCCTCCCCCTCCCCCCCCCCATGTCGATGGTCTATCCGCTAAGGCATGCAAAGCATGAGTATGCCCCCCCCTACATGCTCCGTCTCGAAAGAGACGCGTGGTCAATGGTCAAATGACTACGGCAAGCAACCAATGAGTACGCCCCCCCTACAGGAGAGATGATTGAGGCAGAAGACGGTAGCTAAGCTAGGGTCTAGGAAAAGGCGGGAAGTGAAATCGATAGGATAGGCAAAACATGTATGAACCATCCAAGGCAAAGTAGGAAGGAACTGTTGGCCATCGGTGATCGGTCCTGTGAGAACACCCCTCCGTCCTCTCGAGGACGCGTGGTCAATATCTAACCGCTACGGCATGCTAAACATGAGTACGCCCCCCTCACTTCATCTCCATGCATCTTGTGATCTTACGATTGGCCGTCCGCCGTTACCGCGGCGGACCCGATGCAAATCCTCCTCGCAAAGCAATGCGTGGATCATTGACCTGAGAATTCATTCGCAGCCCCCCGCCCGCTTCATTTCGTGCCTTGTGCGTGCTAAGACGATGTTTCTCCCCCCCCCTGACGGCAATATTGAGCAGGCCTTGCGTCAGCAACTCCTTGGAAGGGCCCCAGCAGATTGAATCAGAGTTCAGACTCGTGTCCGTTCCATTTTCACCACAGGCAGGCGTGGCGACACGGGGGGAGATTCCATCGATCCTTTCCCCCGGCTAGCTATGATGCTTTTCATTGCCAGTTAGAAGTTCGACTTAGTCCAGTTGAGGGACGGGGGTGCCGTGAGTAACAATACCTCGAGGGATGACGGCTGTTCAGGCCTATGAACAGCAGCCATGTTTTATGGATGATTGCAAACTTTGAGCTCTTACCGTTGGCCAGAACGGGGCTGCGCTACAACGTGTTCGGTCCTTGTGGGCTGGAGAAGATACGCAGACAGCGTGCGTGCCCAGTCATGTTCCGATCGCTGAGTTCACCTAACGGGGCTCACAGGAAGATACCGAGCAGCCATCCAAGTGCGGGCTGCTGTCGTCCGCCAATCTAGTGAAAGGGGGGAGGAGTCGCCGTTGGGGTGTTCTTGGCACCCAATACACACCCTAACTCGCGCCGAACAAAATAGGGCAAGAAAAGCACGTGACAAGCGGCAAGGTTGGATGTGGCTTCGTTGCCGCGCCAGCACCCTTGTCCTCGGCCCTATGGTCAAATGATCGGCGGCAGGCAAGAAATGAAGAACGGACCCTGCCGACACTGAAGACGAAAGAGCCCTCATTACGACTACTGCTGCTGTGCTATGAGGCACGCCCCTCTCTTGCCACCTCTCTGTTCTAATATATTGGGGGACATCGATCGCTCGTATCAAGGTGGGGTGTTCTATTGTTCGGTCGGTGTTTGGCTAAAGCTGTGTTCTTGCTTGACTAGTTTTCATGCCTTTCGCGAAATGTGAGC